TACAAGTTTGATAGTAAAAACCGGGTTTACCACCCGAAAGTATGAACACGATTTTGGCTCTTATCAAAGATCCAAGCAATTCACATCAATTTTTTGCCCAGATTTTTGAATCATGGAGTAGTGGGCAACATTCCCATGCCAATTGAACTGCAGGGAAGATAAATTACACAAGTGCTGTTTGTTAGCCATGCCCAAATCTTAAGACAGCCAGGAAAATCTGCTTTTAAAAAAAAGGATTGGGGAAAAAAAATCAACCTAGGTCATCAAATGCAAGACTAGACAAAGATGCATACAAAATGCTCTTTCAATTAAAATTGTAAGTTGTTTATTGGCCCAAGGAACTTGAGCCAGATCATGAATAAAACAGTCACTTAAAACAGAGTATGGCCACTCTCAACAAAGCATCATAAGCACAACAAGGTATCAATAAACTCATTTAGTCAACAATATAAACAATATTTGTTGCTGGATAACAACTTAAACAAATAGAAGCATTTGGTAAAAGCAAATAATTACAAAGCAGTTGAATGTTCTTTTTGCAAATGATGTGAAAAGGACAGACAATTCAGGTAAATAGTATTAGTCTAAAAACCATAGATTCATGGTTGCATGCTAATAATAATAATGCAACAGATTCCAATGTATACATGAAACGTAAGATGATGAGAATCTACGTGCACGATGAAGCTTAAGATTTTATCTGAAAAAATGACAGAAATTACATAACAAATAAAAAATAATTGTCATTCCTGACTGGAAAAAGAACAGTTGAATTCTTAAACATTCATTAAAGAATATTGTACATAACAAATAACCTAAGCAGAAACAAAAATTGCATCCAAGATGCACAGCACCCCGGAGAGCTAATAAATTCCAGCTCTAAGAGTCTCTCAGGTCTGAAGACTTTCTAAAAATCTTTCAATAGGTGGAAAGTTGTAAACCACCCAGAGGCTTGCAGAGACAGACAGCCCTATACAAGCAAGATAGACCGAACTTAGGCCATCACAACAAATGAGACATTGAAAATCTCACAAAAAATGTCTATGAGATCCTTTCAGTGAACACTGATGGACAGAATATTTTTAAGTCCACAAAATCAATGAAGTTCAAGTCGATAACTGAGTAATATTGCAGAAGCAGTATTACATTAATGTTTTAAAATCAAAATCCCACCAACTAGCTATGATTCCACAAACATTTACTGACAGTTAGCTTTTATTGTCCGGATGAATGTTAAAGCTCCAGATAGATTCAAAGAGACACAGTTATTGACAGATAAAAAGATCAATCGACTATTCGAGATAATCACAAATAAAAAGAAAAGGAATGCATCAAAACTCAGTGATTGAAAACCATAACAGAATAGATATTAAAATAGTAACATGCAATTTACCCCCAATTATACATAGGTGAGAAAAATGAATAAAATGTTATATTACAATGCCTACCAATTATGTACAAGTTGTATGCAAGTAACTATATATGTATAATTCATTAAGTATCACACTATGACAGAATTTTAAGTCCACCATGACATAATTAGGTTGCTGTGATGAAACACTCGAGCTTAAACTGAAAAGTTATTGCTACAGCAAACATTACACCAGACTGACACTCCTAAACAAATACACAGTTTTCACAAGGTAAGAAATATTTTAATTGAAATTTTGATTCCTAGTAAATGTATTCTGTGTTGGGCAGGACTGGGCAGTGGAGCACAGTTTTATCTATTGCTAGAAAACATCACACAGTTTCTGTCCATTTGAGTAACTTATCACTTGTAGCTATCTTTTGTAGGCTTCAATTCAAAAGCTCAAAAAAGGGGCAGTTTAAATAATTAGCAATGCCTTACCGTGAAGAACATAAAAGATTCTCATTGAAACCAAAATTTTAATTGTTTTGATTAAGAGAATAGCTCTGCTCCAAGTTACTTGAACACTCAAAAAATTTCAAGCAAAATCAGAAACATGCTACATGGATACCCCAAGGATTAGTTGCATACCTTACATGAATCAGGTGCCATAGGCCGGCTACAACCAGCTACCACTACAGTATAACAAAAGTAAAGGGACCAAAATGTCCTATAAACCTCATACTTTTCAGCTTAATATGAACGCTTTCTTTAAAGAGAGAGAAAATGTCAAAGACTCATAGTTCTAAAGTGAAATCACCCGACCTCAGTCGCAATCTACCAGCGTGAAGGATTTAAGTCTTGGCCTAGCTAAGGTTTGTGCTTCTCTCAACAAAAGTGACTGAGCATAAACAGGAACCACCCATATCCATTTCTTTCCCATGCACCATTGTGTCTCAAACCACACACAATCATGTTCACACATACATTTTTTTTAATAATCTGTTGACACATACACACAGCTAGGTAGTTTCCCTTCACGTCTTCTATGTTCTCTCATCCATCACCCACTCCTTCCACTTGCACACATTTCTTCAAATACTTCACTCATACAGTTGCGCAGTCATTCACACCATAACCATCACTAGCGCATTCAAATCTACAGAAAATAAAATATCTAAGGCGGTTCAAAATTATGTACACCTCTGTACAAAAGAATGTACATAGACTTCAGTTTATGAGTTTGATGGTCTTATTTAGGAAAAGGCAAAATATACCCCCCATTAAAGGACCCAACAGCACTTTACAGAACTTGAAGTTGATCGAAATAAGTACATACATCAGGCTCACAAAAATAATAAAAGGCAGTAACAATTGAGTACCAATATACTACACTAGATGAGAAAAAATTATCAAATTTAAGTTGCGAGTAAGAGCTGTCAACCCTTTGTCACCCTAGCATAGGTTATAAACAAAAATCAGAGGAAAAGAATAAGAATTAGCATGAAATAGAAACTGTAGTGGAACCTACAAAGTTTTGGCGCTGATTGTGTTCTTTCATTTGAATAATTTAGAGTCGTACACTGACACCAAAGTTGTCAGAGCACCTTGAATGAGACCCAATAAAAATAAACCAGCTTTAGAGCACACCCATCAAGCTCAGTAAACTGCAATCACTATTTGAGGAGATTTAATAATAGCGGTCATTCCCCACCTAAAAATCTTAAAGTTTAGGTACACTTTTCGGAAATTGCACATTTACAAATAGGGTACTAGAGGGGTGCAAATTGAGATGTATAAAAAGATGTATGGAATATGGCTACTGATGGCAAAGAGCCTGGGCACATTTCAGCTGTGAGCGTCGAGCTTGCATACAATCCTAAGTCTTTGAAAGGTTCTTCTACATACCCCTACATACCTACTTTCATTCACAACATGGCAAGAAAAAAGATAACAAGGGCATAGTCTTCAAAATACAAATTGAGAAACTAAGACAAAGAGTAATATTTAAATTGCTTCCTACATAACTGTTTTCAGATTGAGAAAACACATAAATACAAAACACATTGAAGGGATACATTAAATGAAACATAATGAAAATTAAAGACTGGGGAACAATAATAGTAAAGAATTCACAGTTCAAGATCGAACAGTGATGAGAATGGCACATTTGCTAACAAGTCTGTGCTAAAAAGGCACAGCAGGGCAGCAGGGCAGCAGGGCTGGGCCGGGCCGGGTGTTACTGGGCGCTGGCATGGCATGGCGTGCTGATGAGGCGGTGTGATGCAGGGCGAAGACAGCAAGAGCGGAAACGTCAGCAGAGCCATGCAACCCAGACCTGTGAAAGCAACCAAACATTAAGTCAGTATCCTGTGAACAGTGACGGTAAAGAAACAATGTTAATCAAAGAAACAAAAGGACATATTGTTCATCAGGTACTGGCCTACTTACTAAAGAGGGGCTTAAAATCCTAAGTATCCAGCGATTGTGGAGCAGAGAATAATGATGAGGATAGACACGCAGATCAGAATCATGATTTTCTTCTGCAAGAATTAAACAGAAAGAATTAGAAAGAAATATATTAGAAAAGACGAGACCCTGCAGAGATCACTTCAATACCAGCTGTATACTGGGAGATTGCCACTTTCTTTTACTTTTTCAGATGCTGGTGTGTGGTCACATATTTCTTTTTACATAACACTTTAGGCTGTGTTATATAGCCTAAAATTAACAGATACCTGTCAAAATTAGATGCTAAAGCTGCAATGAAACACAAATACTAATCTGCTCTTGTTCCAGCTTCATTTTAAAATTTTGCAAAATTTGCAGCAATAAAGGGTACAGAATGGTTTGAACACTTCTGATGCTTTCCAAATTACTTACCAATCACCTCCTCTTCTCTCCATCTCATCAAATGAGCACGCTCATATACCAACAAGAGATACGGGGAGAGATCTTGTGTGTACCTATGTCATGGGTAAAATAAAGGTGACGTCCAGATGCAAATAAAATGCAATGCGTAGCACAATCATGCAAATTGAAGGCGTGAGGAAAGTGTTCTGTTTCTAGGTACAGACTAGTGGGGAAAAAAATCAAATCATAGAAGCAAATAAAATCAATTGTATTTCTACACAATACTGTACAGCGATAAGGTTACTATGGGAAAATAAAAAACATGCATGATAACAGAATGAATATATAACACAGCTATAATTGGCAGATAATAAAAATTAAAAAATTTATTATAAATTACGCATTAATTATAAAATATTGAAGGATTGCTCTCACACACACATAGGATTATAATCTGACATATGTACGTATGTATTCTGCAATTGATAAATCAGATTTAAGCTTTAAACTTGCATTTGCTAACAACTGATGCTGTTGAATGCAAAAGAAATTTAGTTACATAAGACAGGGCAACACTGAACGTCAAGGTATTTAATTTGTTGCAATGACCTGCAAAAGGAGCTTTACGGTGTAGACACAGGAGGAAATTAAATATTATTATCAATAATTAATCTTATCAATGAATTAAAGCTTAATCCTGACGCTGTTAAAGACATAACAATACCCCACCAAGTTAGCCAGATTTAGCAAACATATTAGGAATTTTCTGACTTTAGATACTGACCAAACTTGTAAATTTTCCAACTAAACTTAAGTTTTATATGCCTCAAAACACAAATTTAGGTAGCACATCTACAAAATCCTTAAACACTGGATGTTACAGTATGTACTTGTTTGGTCTGATCATTAGGAACAGTTCCATCAAAAATTCTCTTCATTAAGTAGGAGAGCAGTACTTTGGATTTCAGTCTACTGCCTAGTATCACATTCAGGCATTATGTCCACAAAGTGTACATAAGATCTATAGAAATAAGTCATGTGACTCCACTAAATTGCAACAGCAAAGAGACAACATACCATCTCAGGTGAGATCTTAGAACAAAGTGGACTTTAACATATATTACAAAGGAGCAACTTCAGTCTCAGATTCAAAACCTGAGCTTGAGGTTGACATAAAACTGTGGCAGCTAAATGTACCTCAAGAAATTGCACATCACTTTAAAATTACATGGAATATACCCGTCAATAGCACACTTACTTTCAAAGATAATAGAAAATATTAGAAAACATTAAGATAAAATAAATTGAAGAGAAGAGGAAAAGAAAACTATGTTCTATATAGAGCAAGAGAGAAAGCAGATGAGGAGAAAAATCTAGCCGTACTTAATTAAAGCAATAGCTGATCTTTTCTTTGTTTGTTTAAAAAGGAATAACTGATATAGAAGCAAAACCTGTAACTTTACAGTACAGCCGGTGAAAAAAAAAAAGACTTTTTTAAAAAAAATCAACAACAACAAAACATCATATTTTGAAAAGAGATCTAACAAAGTTATGAAAAAGCTCTTTGATCGACAAAAATTATCTGGATGAATGCTTACCAGGCAGAGTGGAGTGAATCACAGTTGCGAATATGGCTGTTGAGACGAGTCCTGGGTAGTTGAATGCTGCAAGCGTACTCAGAGTACACGAAATGTAGGAGATGCGCTACAGGGAACGTTTGAGCAGCCAGCAAGGTCAGGACAGCGCCACATAGATGTACTAGCATGGAAAGATGTCCAAAAATACGGGGTGTGCGAACAGTACACAGAAAGTGCATTAGGTGGCAAAGGCAAATCAACAAAAAGGTAATTTTGCAACTAAATGCAAAGACACAGTCAAATACCCTTACAATATGCTAAGTTTATTAGAACATCAAGAGGTCCATTAAAACCACTGATGCAAACTTACCCACACAAAAGGACACTAAAATGATAGGGTTAAGGATATGTTTTGATTCAAACAATATTGTCATTTTGTGCATTGTTCACACACCCTTGCTATCCATAATTGAAGCAGCAGTGCACTACAACTTTATGTTAGGAGTATTATACTGCATGTACTAAGTGATGCATGATAGTATTTAGATTCTACAATTGGCAAAACATGTACAGCATCACAAAGTATTACTTCTTGTCCATTCAAACAGTATGAAAAATAGGAGCATATTGGAATGGCATATACTTTCACTGCTTTCCCTCTGAAGTTATCAAAAACTACACATGTACCAGAAACAATGTCATATCTCAGAGATGGACTACTGAACTTGCACATTTATGCCAATTTTTGTGTTGCAGCCCATAGCTTAGCATGTTGGGTGTAATTATCATCATTCACAATGATCTGTGTAATACACAAATAGAGAAGAGGCATACTTTACAGCAGGTTACTATTCTGGTACAACTCTATTGATATTTTGAGAATAAGGGCATTTCATAAGTGTAGCAATTTTTGAAGCTTTCTAAAAACTCCACTACATACTGTTTGAAAGACATTTGAAGGCACATTACTAATTCAAAATTTAACTCTGGATGATTTGTGTACCAAAAACGGACAAAAGATTAATTTCTCTTATATAATAATAGCAGGCAGAGTTCATCTAGTTAAAACCAAATCTCAAGACAAAGGAGTAAAACTTTCAATGAGTAATTAGATACACATACATATCTTTTTACATTACGGGTATTGGTTCTTCAACATATTCAGATGTCAAGAATCAAATGGAAATACAGTAATGTCAGTAAAAACTGATATTTTACTTTGAATTTTAAAGTTAGATTTCTATCTATTTCTGAAATAAACCTATAGCAAAGTTCACTCTAGGAATGAAGGTGCATGGATCATCACAACTTTGCACGTTCATTAGATTACAAAACTTGGACAATGCTCTGATACATTGTCTTCATGTTATATTTCTACATATAATTTACATAAAAATGTGAATGGAATAACAAATCTTTTTTGAAGTACAAGGATGTATCTGTCAATAATAAATATATATAGTCATTTTGTCCTCCTATTGATGCTTTAATTACAAAACCAGGGCACTAGCCTTGATAAAATAAATAATTATGAAGGAAAATGGCATGAATAAAATAACATTATATAAGACATCAGACAAACTCAACACAGGGACAACATATATTCTCCAAACACAGATAATTCTGCAACAACATCAGTTAAAACTTTTTGATTATGTTAATAAAATATTTGAATCAGATCCAACTCTTCCATCTAAAGAATAATGACAGTAATAATGGAAACAAAGATATAATTTGTAAAATGTTGTCAATCAAATGGAAAACCATTTGGTGGGCAGGCAGAATTATTGTGAAGGAAAATTGCTTAAAACCAACAAGAGGAGAAGGGGATGGTGAAATACATGGATGTTGCTCTGTTGCCATAGGTATGGTAGGGTGGTATACAGAGGGTACTTCTTAACTGTCAATAAAATGTCAAAAAATGGGATTTAAAACAAATTATAACATTGTAACACAAGTATGTATACAATCCCCTTTTCCTCACACTGCACTGCTGCTTCGGCTAAATATGTAATTGAATGCTGAGTTTTACAGCAATACTGCTAGCACAATAATTGTTATGATAACTGAGACAACGAGGCAGACAATGATGAAGATTTTTTTCTGTAAACAGAACCAAACAGGAGCTACTGTCACTACAGTGCACATCACATGCATTTTTGCAATACACAGAATATCTTTGCTTCTTTCAAAATACTAGAAGCTTTTGCAAAAGTGGTTGTGATAATTTACTTCCTTTCCTTTAATAAACTGCCAAACTGAAATAGGTAGTTTAAGTCTTCCTGAAAATGTTAAAATTTCTTGGGCAAATATTGTACTTTTTCATTTGGAAACCTTCCAATTAGCAAAATTGTTGATGAAATTTGTTTATCAGCTTGTAATTGTTCCTTCTTAAGATTGTTTATTATGGTAAGCAAATCTTAGTTTACCTTGCTTATACACAAACAGGCATGCGAAACAAAACTTTAAAGAAATCACAAAATCTGTTTTGTTTTTTTTAAAACCTAAGCCGTGCAAAGCTACTTTCAGGTTCATGCATTCTGAGACAATAGAAGCATAGGATGATATACTAATATATCGTACTTGTATTTTGATGGTAGATCTGGTGAAGAAAGTGAGTCAGAATCAGAGGACATGTCCAATAGGTGTAGACCTAGCAGGCTGGCGCAATTCTTGTTGAATGTAGAATGTACCTCGCCGCACATGTCCTAACGCTAGTGTATGTAAGATACTAATTGCTGTCTGCTTTTCTCCGGACACACCACTTACCTTTCTAGCTTTGCTCTGGTAATCCTGAGCAACTTTAAGCTCACCGCGTGCTGTTTCAACATAATCCTTTGTTTCGGTCACATGGTACTCCACTCTGTCAATCAGTTCACCCTGTAGTGTTTTGGATTGGATGGAAACAAGGGAGGGTTTTTTTTTTTTTTTTTCAAGAGGTATAGGTTAAGATGAAGAGAAGAATTTGGAAATATAGTGTATCGAACAAAGACCCCCACCATAAGCATGTTTGTGAATGTGAATTTAAAAAATGTTAATTTGTTTTTAGGGGTAAGATCAGTAGAATATCCACAAAGGAAACATACATGCATAAACAGAGAAACACAAAAGCACCGTTCATTGCCAGCAGATGAACCAGGGAGACAGGACAAGAAATGTGACAATAGGCACAAAAGTCATTTGACAGGACAGATAGAAAGAACAGACACATCGCACAGATATATAGAAGCATGGTCACCAAAGGGAGCCACACAGAAATAGAGCCACACACCAGCAGGAAGAAGTGACAATCATCAGAGCACACCACACACATAGCCATACCAATGGAAGTAAACATGGACAGGTGATTAAGGGAAGAAAAAGCAACATTGTTAAAAGTAAATAAAGAAAACATATTGGTTTAAAAGAAATGAAGCAACAAAATCAAACAAGGAAAGCAGAAAAAGATGGGAAGAAGAATTGGGTAAGGATGTGGAAAAGGAAAGTGGGAGGAAGGGAAAAAAAAAAAAAAATTAGTTACATACGTAAATAAAATTTGAACTGTCACTCACCCGTCGTGCTTTACTCTGATACTTGAGTGCCTTCTTGGTATCCTGTGTGGCTGTTTGCACATAATCCACAGCGTGTTCCACATGGTACTCAATGCGGTCGATCATCTCACCCTATAATGAGCACCCCAAACCATGAATAGAAAGTTTCTAAGCGATAGAAGGTATACAGAGAAGAATAGAAAGCACACTGAATAACCATTAATGAAAAAAGTTCCCACACCAGTAAGAAGAATATTTTAATTGGTTGTTGTTAAGCTAATTGACTGTGCAACCATACTCAAAATAGACAGGCAAGAAAAAATGACATTCAGAAGTGAGGGTTAGTGGTACAAATGTTAACAATGTATGCTTCAAACAAAAGGCAAAGGAAGCGGAGAGAGAAATTGCTTGAAATAGGACTGCAATAAAGTTGAACAAATACAGTATATAGAAGGACACTAGCAGTGAGAAAAGACTGAGACTGAGGGTATCAACCGCATTGAATACACAGTATCCATAATAAAATAACAACTTTAAATATATATTTTAAAATGTACTGGAAAATAGTAACTTCTTTATATAAAAGTGATAAAACCTTGAGCTTAGCTGGGCATTGAATGGGATATCAGAGATCAAGAAATGCTTCAAAATTCAAAATATAATAATGACTTGCCTGACTTTCAACGAGCATGGCCATATCCATAAACATGTCATGGAGCTCTCGGATGGAATTCTCCAGTTTTATGATATCTGCATGTCGAGCTTCAATATCAGCAAGAGTTTGCTTTGCTTGCTGGGTTTCCATGATGATCTAAAGAGAAGCAGGAAGAAGATGTCATATTTGTAGTTAGGGAACAATAGTAAAGACTATGTTGTATGATACCATCTAAGAGTACACTTACACCTTGAGTGAAAACAGCAGAGTTTCCTTGCTCCAACATTTCCTCTAACTCTTCATTGGTAGTAGTCCGCCCAGCTAAAAGTGAAAATAGTATTTCATCAAGTACTCAAACTCAACAGAGCAGCTGGAAAAGAAAATGTATGTATGGTACATACTTATCTCAAGTTGTCGTTGTATTCTTCCTTTACACCTTTCTCGATAGTCGGTCTGTGTGCGATTGTACTCTGTCATTACTTCTACAAATTTGCGCGAAAGAGTGGAGTGCTGTGTTTTGCGTATCCTTAAATCTGCTGAAGACTTGTTGGTGTGTTCCTCTTGTTCAATGTTTTGTTCTATCACTGTAATAAAAGAAAAGGATGATAATATAACATAAAAGATTACAACTACAAACATATGAATGAGAAATGAGAAGAATTGGTCAATAAATTACCCTTTAATTTGGCACGGACTTTGTTGGCAGTTTTCTTAATGTCAGCCATAAGATCCTCCAGCTCCTGCTTGACCTCTGCAACACAAGAAGATAAGAAGAATAAGTCATGTGCCCATGATACTCTGAGTAGACAAGCCCGGAACACTTCGAGGTTTTAGACTAAGAGTTCCGGCAACCACACTCACCCCCGCCCGCTCTTAATAACGCATAAACAAAACATGACTGGTTAAGTAAGTACAGGCTGTCCCATACACCGCGTACCTTTCTTTAGTCTGTGGTGCGGTATGCAGTAGTGCGGCTTGCCTACGCTCGCTCACCATAGCGCCTTGTGCAAGCGTACAATTTTATTTTAAAAAATTAGCGCCTTATTGGGGAGGCAAAACGGTGGAAAATTTGGCCCTACAAATACTTGACTAAACCAGAAAAAATCCGCACTATCCCTGTACCCTTTTCTGAAATAGCAAACTTCCCCTCCTGTTTCTTTTCTCACACGGGTAATATACATCGCAGTGACATCCCCGAACGTGTCAAACACATAGACATGTGTTCACTTGAATGCTGCTGAAGCTGCTGATCTAGTGTTATAGTGGAGTGGCCAGAAGGATAAAGGGCGGGAAGGGGGGGGAGAAATGGAGGGGGGGGGGGACAAGGTAGCACGGCGAAGCGAGGCAGGGTCAAGCGGTTCGCTGTCCCCGCAGCCCCAGAGGCAGCACCCTTCAGGGAGGCAAGAAGATGGGAGGGTGGTGGCATGAGTGTGGAGGAGTTGGGGAGAAGGTTGGGTGAGGCGGGCGAGGCGGGCGGGCGCGGGCCCACACTAGCCCACACCCTGCAGCGCCTCGGCGGTGGTAGCGGTGCGATCCCGCGAGAGCGCTAATTGGCAAGAGGATGCTTTTGTCGGCGAAGCGCAGCGATGCACAGCAAAGCGCCGCCGCCGCCGCGCCACCGTCCGTGCCGTGCACCTCATCCATCAGCATCATGAGCAACGAGACAAAACCGACCAGCCGGTCTGTCCCGTCGCCCGTTGGTCCCAGCCCGCCACGCTGGCGGGGCAGGCGGGGTAGGCGGG